ACCACCAACGCAGAGAAACTAGTAGTGAACGCCGTGTCCCCATCACCCCGTTTGTAGTTACCAGCATTCGGCTAAGATGGATTTTTATATGAAAGGGTGTCTTCTCAGCTGGTTCTTTTGGGTGCTCTGTTGTAATTAGAGAGAAGAGCGTGGGTTAATCACTTAACTCAGCATACGTGGGCTTCTGCCGTGGGCCACGTCCTGGGCCGTGAACTTGGCCTAGGACGGAGAAGGAGAAGGACTGGGAGTAGGGGTGTGTGTCTGCGGAACAAGACAGACTGGGCCGCAGATGGGGGCCTCCTGGGGCTGTCCTAGGTAAGGCGTCCCAGGTTGGCTCCCTGCTCATTTCTCTCCTGGAGGCCTGGGAAGTGGGACAAAGAGGTCGCTGGCTAGCAGCCGTGAAACAAACAAACAAAAAAAAACCCCATTCCTGTTGAGTCAATTCTGGCTCATAGAGACCCTACAGGATAGAGTAGAACTGCCCCACAGGGTTTCCAAGGAGCAGCTGATAGATTCGAACTGCTGACCTCTTGGTTAGCAGCCGAGCTCTTAACCACTGCACCACCAGGGCTCTGGCAGCTGTGAGAGCCTCGAATCCCAGATGGGTGATCAGCACGGCGCCACTCGCACATCTCATCTCACAACTGTCTGGGGAAACTGGCCAGTCCCTCGGAGGGCCGCGTGGAGGTCTTAGAAGGGGCCACCGGGAGCTTTTTCTCTTCCTTTTCATCTGGTTTGAAAGCTGAGGAAACTCGTTTTTCATCTCATCACCAATGAAACCAAATCCAGGCACCTTTTTCTGCATCCTCATAGTGAGGATCAGAGAGGGAGTGCACGTCCAGGCTTAGCCCAGCTCCTGCCACGTGGAGCTCCTGCTGCATGCGTGCTCACACATCCCGTACTTGTGGGAGTACTTGTGCTGGATTGTACATGTACATGCTGTTGGGGGCCTTTTCTAGTGTTAGTATCAAGTCCTCCTGTTATTGTAAAATTCATTCTCCTGGGCAGTGCTACCAGCAAAGTTCGTCAGCCCAAACACAAAACCTGCTGTTCATCGCTGCATAACAGATTAACCCAACATTAAGCAGCTTAAAACAACATTTATCATCTCATGTCGTTTCTGAGGGTCAAGAATATGGGAGTAGCTGAACTGCTGCATGGTTCTGGCTAAGGGTCTCTCATGAAGTTACAGTCAAGAAATCGGCCGGGGGTGCGGTGGTCATCATCTGAAGGCTCCACTGGGTCTGGAGGAGCTGCTTCCAAGATGGGTCCCTCACATGGCTGTTGGCTGGAGGTTCCAGTTTCTCTCCCTGCAGATGGCTCCATAGAGCTGCTTGAGTCTCCTCACAACATGGCGGCTGGCTTCCCTCAGGGCAAGTGTCCTTGGAGAAAGAGGGCCCCTTCCCATCCTGGAGAGTTGGTTTCACCCTTCCGGAATGACTTTACCCTCATCACTCCTGTAACTTTCTTCTCATTTTACCCTTTGCTGTGCGGGCTGGATTATCTCTTCCATAGTTCTTAGACAAGAGCGTGGCTGCTTTTCTCCTTTGTCAGGGTGATTGGATCCAGGAGCCAGTCAACTCCTGAGAAGACCCTAGTTGGGTCTCAGTGAATGTAACTAACAACAGGGTAGGTCAGTCATGTGGATCTCTTATAAACTCTCATAAATACCTCAGACTGAGGGGTGGGGCTGCTTTTAATGGAGTCTGTTGTTGTTGACAGCTTTGTGGAGATATAATTCACACAACATACAATTCACCCTTTTAAGGCGTACAATTCAGTGGTTTTCAGTGTATTCACAGAGTTGTGCAGCCTTCACCAAAGCCAGTTTTAGAACATTTTCATCACCCCGAAAAGACACTGTAGTTAAGCATAGAATTACCGTATGACCAGCAACTCCTCTCCTGGATAGACCCCCAAAAGAATTGGAAGCAGGGATGCACACAGCCTCATGTACACCCGTGTTCATTGCAGCGCTACTCACAGTAGCCCAGAGTTGGAAACAACCCACGTGTCCATCAGCAGGTGATGGGTAAACGCAGCGGGGGCCATCCACACGAGGGCATCTTACTCGGCCATAAGGAGGAATGAGGTTCTGGGACGTGTATGACGTGGATGAACCTTGCAGACGTGATGCTCAGTGAAAGAAGCCAGACCCAAATGACCCGGTTTGTTTGATCCCATGCGTCTGAGATGTCTAGAAGAGGCACATGCAGAGACAGAGAGTAGATGAGTGCTTCCCAGGGGCTGGGGGGAGGGGAGTCACTGCTTAGTGGGTACACGGTTTCTGTTAGGGTGATGGAAAAGTTTTGGAAAGAAACAGTGGGGATGGCCATTCAATACAGGAAACGTACTAAAAGCCACTGGGATGTACATTTGAAAATGATTAAAATGGCAAATTTTGTGTTGTGTGTATCACCACAATAAAGAAGGAAGGAAGGAAGGGAGAGAGGAAGGAAGGAAAGAAGCAAGCCCACACCCATCAGCTGTCACTCCCCCTCGCCCTCCCCCAGCCCCTGGCACTTACCTACTTCCTGTTTCTGGATTTGCCTCCTCTGGACTTTTCACGTAAGTGGAGTTGCAGCGACTGTGCCATTTTACAGTCCCTCTGGCAATATGCAAGGGTTCCAGTTTCTCTACATCCTTGCCGACACTTGGTGTTCTACTGCCCGTGCTCGCAGGCGTGAAGTGATCTCACTGTGGTTGCGGCGTGTATCCCCCGATGAGTGATGACCTCCAGCCTCTTTACGTGCTTGTTGGCCATTTGGATGTCTTCCCTGGAGAGGTGTCTGCTCAGCCCCTTCCTGTTTCCGCTGCCTGCACAGCCCCGCTCTCCTCTTTGTGCCAGTTCTTGCTTTTCATGCGCTTTTTTGAGAACTGGCCAGAGGTTCCCCTTTGCCCACGAGAGCTGTGACTGCCTGTTGGTCTTCTGCTGTTTATCATGAGGTGTGAGGGGACTGTCCCATCAGGATTCTCAAACCACTGGGTCGCTGGTACAGCAGCTCGCTGGGCCCTGTGCTGGAGCTTCTGATCCCGTGGGTGGGTCCAGGAGTCTGCATTTCTGACTAGTTCCCAGGTCGTGCCAGTGCTGCTAGTTGGGGACCCCCCTGTGGGAACCCCGACTTACGAGGCCAAGTCCCCTACCTGATTGTGCTCTGCTCTACTTTGCCCCCACCTGGTCTGTACAATGGGGTACAGTAGATTTGAGGTGATCCCTAAGTCAGTTGGAGGGTATTATTAAGAACGCTGTGGTCCCTGGGTGATGTGAACTGTCTGTGCCCAACTGCTCACCTAAAGGTTGGCAGTTTGAACCCACCCAGCAGCACCATGGAAGAAAAGACCTGGTGATCTGCTTCTGTTAAGATTTCAGCCCTGAAAACCCTGTGGGGCAGTTCTGCTCTGTAGCCCATGGGGTGGCCATGAGTCGGGATTGGCTTGATGGCAGTTAACAATGTTAAGGATGCTGGAGGGTTTGTTTCTCTTCGCCTTAAAAAAAAAGGCTTAGCACAGAAGGCCACGTATGTACGATTCCATTGATATGATGGCAGATCCGCAGAGGGAAGGTGGGTTAGTGGTTGCCCAGGGGACGGGGAAGTGGGGGTGGGGAGTGACCGCTGACGGGCGCGGGATTTCTGTGTGGGGTGATGAGAACGTCCTGAGGTTAGATAGTGGTGATGGTTGCACAGTCTGAAAGTACTAAAAACCACTGAAGTATTCGCTTTAAGCAGGTGAACCTTATACTCTGTGAATTCTGTCTCAGCAGCCCTGGTGGCACAAGGGTTAAGCACTCGGCTGCTAACTGAAAGGACTGTGGTTTGAACTCACCCAGCAGCTCCGCGGGGAAAAGACCTGGCGATGTGCCCCTGTAAAGATCCCAGCCTGGGAAACCCTGGGGGCAGGTCTGCCGTGTCACGCGGGGTCGCTGTGAGTCGGAGTGGACACGACGGCGCCCAGGAACAGCAGCGGAGCGGCTGGAAAAGAGCCGGCTTAGGACTCGGCAGCGTATTTAACGAGCCGACGTGATACCACTACTGAATGCTGGGATGTGCTAGGCACTATTCTAAGACCCTCTCAGGCGTTCTTCTGTCTTAAACCTCTCTGCTTGGTAGTTACTGTTCTCTTGTTTTCACGCTGTGAAAGCTGGTTGCCTGGGCTTGGAGGCTGACAGGATCTCAGGAGCCTCCGCTGGCAGCTCTGGGACTGGACACCAGCTGCTTGCTCCCGGCCCGGGCCCTTGCCCTCACTGTGCTAGGACCCGTGACAGTGGGACCAGAAGAGGTGCTGGGCAGAGAGTATCACTGAGTCCCAAAGAGGCCCCCGTGGTGGCCGAAGGGCTGGCGCCGATGCCCGCAGCCTCGGGAGGTGAGGCGGCGGCAGCAAAGCTGCTGTACAGCCAACGACTACCGAGGCCACGTTAGTTGGGCCCCTGTAAGTTGCACCCTGGGGTCTCTGGAACCCTCTGCACACGCTGTGACCTGACCTGTGTCACCGCATCCTGATCCTTGTTGTTTTGAGGTCCTAGCACAGCTGGCTGCGGAGACCCCCGCCAGGGCTCTGGAGCAGCTCCTGAAGGTCCCTCTTTCAGCAGCAGGCCTGCGGGGGCCCGGACCAGCGGCAGCCGGGTGGTGCAGTGGTGGCTCTGGTCCTGGCTGAGCCCCGGGCCACACTCACTTGTGCAGCTCTGGATGCCCTGGGTAGGCCCTCCTACCCGCTTCCTGGTTGTTGGGATCAGATGGGGATCGAGCTTCCAGTGCGTCCCAGGCCCCTGGGGAATGGCTGGGGTGACTTTGGTGGGGAGGGTCCTGGCAGCCCCTGCCTTGGTGGTGGGCCTGGAAGCTACGTCAGCTGAGAAATGGAAAGTGGAGCGAGCCGAGCAGACGGCATTAAGGTGCAGGGGGGAGCGTCTTCCTCTTCGAGTGCCTCCACGGCCATGCACTCCACGGTCACCTGAGGGAGGTGCCACGGACCGACTCTTAAGACTGTTTCCGTTTGCTTTTCAGGACAAACATCACGATGCTGCTCACGAAATCATCGAGACCATCCGGTGAGTTGCCAGCGCTTGCTCAGCACTGGGCGTAGCCTGCGCTCCCAAAGGCCCCATGGGCAACGGCTTCATAAAGCCATGACCCGGTTCCTGGTTCTCCCGGGTCCCGGGCTTTGCTGACTCGGGACGCCCCTGCCTGGCTCCCCCCTGACGGCAAGAAGACAGTGGAAGAGAGGGCGGCAGACGTTAAATGTGTTTTCTAACAGGGAGTTGGGTTATCTCCCAGAAACTTCGGAGGCCCTGGGTGGTGCAAATGGGGAACGTGCTCGGCTGCTAACCCGAGGGTTGGAGGCTCAAGTCTACCCAGAGGCGCCTCGGAAGACAGGCCTGGCAGTCTGCTTCTGAAACGTCACAGCCGTTGAAAACCCTATGGAGCACAGTTCTACTCTGACACACGTGGGGTCACCATGAGTCGGAGTCAACGGCCACACTCTCTTTTTTTAACCTTCTCTTCTGTGCTCTCATCACCTTGCCCCCCGCTTTCAGCACATTTTACAGCCCCCTGCTTTGCCAGGTTCCTTATCGGCCTCTCAGAACGATGATGACGTAGAGCAGGGAGAAGAACTTGGTCAGCGAGGCCCATGTTTGCTTGTTTGTTTTTTATTGTACCTTAAGTGAAAGTTTACAATTCAAGTTAGTCTCTTGTACAAAAATTTATACACACATTGTTACGTGACCCTAATTGCTCTCCCTATACTGTGACAGCACACCCCTCCTTTCCACCCCAGATTTCCCGTGTCCATTCAGCCAGATCCTGGCCCTCTCTGCCTTCTCATCTCCCCTACGGACAGAAGCTGCCCATTTAGTCTCATGTATCTACTTGAGCTAAGAAGCACACTCCTCACGAGTATCATTTTATGTCCCACAGTCCAGTCCAGTCTTTGTCTGAAGAGTTGGCCTCGGGAATGCTTCTAGTTCTGGGTTGACAGAGAGTCCGGGGGCCATGCTTTCTGGGGTTCCTCCAGTCTCAGACCATTAAATCTGGTCTTTTCACTAGAATTTGAGTTCTGCTCCCCACCTTTCTCCTGCTCCATCAGGGACTCTATTGTGTTCCCTGTCAGGGCGGTCATTGGTGGTAGCCGGGCACCATCTAGTTTTTCTGATCTCAGCCTGATGAAGTCTCTGGTTTATGTGGCCCTTTTTGTCTCTTGGGCTAATTCTTTCCTTATGACTTTGGTGTTCTTCATTCTCCTTTACTCGATGTGGGTTGGGACCAATTGATGCATCTTAGTGATGGCCGCTCACTAGCTTTTAAGACCCCAGATGCCACTCACCAAAGTAGGATGCAAGGGAGGCCCATGTTTTGATGGCAGTTTTCCACTCATCTGCCAGGCCACGTTGGACAAGTCACGTGGCTTCCACTTCCCTGAGCCTCAGTTTCCTGACCTGTAAAATGGGGGCAGTGGTCCCGAGCTGCAGCATCCCCAAGGGACTCCCCCATCTCCTTGTGTTCCCTCACTCTTCTCGGTCCTTTGGACTTGGCTAATTAACCACAGCCCCAGTTGGCGGGTCTTCCCTGTCGGGCATGGGTCTGAAGATCACTGACAGACCCTGAGCCTGCTCGTCCTGTACGCGTGCAGAGGCAGGAAGACCCCCTCCCCCGCTGCAGTTCTGTTTCCAGTGGGCTTTGTCCTCCACTGTGGACACCAGGGTCTGGTCCCCTGAAATCCCGTGTGCCTCGTGCGGCACTCTTGCAGCTTCTTGTTCTGGCTGTTTGTGGTCAGAAACCTAGCCCTGCTTCAGGACTCGCAGTTGGGTGGCACATGTGCCTTCACAGTTCTCTGCTTCCTTGGGGCCCTTACACGTGGCCCATGTGGGGCCTGGAGGGCAGAGGCCCTGAGTCCGGGCGCGGATCCCACCCGGACTCATGCCGCCCCATGGCCCTGAGCTTCTTTGGTTTGCTCTTGGGGCAGAGTGGCATCTCTTTGCAAGGGCCTTCTGAGGATTAAGTGGAATGATTTGTGTACGTCATGCAGGGGGCCTGACGTGGGGTTCAAAAACCAAACTGTTGCCGCACTCATAGCGACCCTATAGGACAGAGCAGAACTGCCCCATAGGGTTTCCAAGGAGTGGCTGGTGGATTTGAACTGCCAACCTTTTGGTTAGCAGCTAAGCTCTTAGGCACTGTGCCACCCAGTGTTCAGAATTTGGGATCTGCTGTCATTTTTACCTGGCATAACCCATAAACCAAGTGGTCATGGGATGCTGGGAGTGGTGGGCTTCAGTTTGATTTATCAAAATAAAAAAAGGCCGCTGGTTAAGAAATGGGAGTGTGGTGTCTAGTCCACCCCCTGAGCACACCCCTGTGAGCGGCCGGCCTCTTCCCTGTGACAGGAGAACGCTTGTCCCTGCCGTGCAGGGTGGTGAGGAGGAGGGGAGGGGACCATGCAGGAACAGTGTTCAGCACACAGGATGTCCCTAGGAGGTAGAAGCTTCAGGAAGTCCTTAAACGTGGACTGGAAGAGGCGCCACCCACCCCCTGTGGACTTGACCTGCCCCGACCTGCTTACCTGTGCACATGTGGACTGGAAGAGGCGCCGCCCCCTTGGACTTGACCTGCCCCGACCTGCTTACCTGCGCATGTGGACTGGAAGAGGTGCCGCCCCCTTGGACTTGACCTGCCCCGACCTGCTTACCTGCGCACACGTGGACTGGAAGAGGCGCTGCCCCCGTGGACTTAACCTGCCCCGACCTGCTTACCTGCGCACACGTGGACTGGAAGAGGCGCCGCCCCGTGGACTTGACCCGCCCCGACCTGCTTACCTACGCACATGTGGCGCGGGAATGCGTGTCTCTCCCGTTGTCTCAGCTTCGCGCCTTCCAGTTCTGATGAAATGCCCAGCAGCCGTTAAAGAGTGTTTGCGAGCTGTAGTGCATTGACGGGCAAATCTAGCGAAGGAATATGCACCGTTGTGGGGCCTCTTACTGCACTGGGTGAGGGTCTTAGCATGTGGGGGTGCTGAAGCAGCTCCCCCGGTTGGCCTCCTGGTTGCTGTTAGAGGTGGAGCTCTGGGATTGCAGGCAAAATGTACCCACCTCCAGTGGGGAGGAGCCAGGATGAGGCTCTGCGGTGGGAAGCCACCAGTTAGGGGAAAACCAGTTACCATTCAGTTGGTCTGACTCATGGCGACCCCATGTGTGCAGAGTGGAACTGCGCTCTATAGGGTTTTCAGTGGGTGATCTTTGGGAAGTAGATCGCCAGTATTTTCTTCCAAGGCACCTCTGGGTGGACTGGAACCTCTGACTTTTCGGTTAGGAGGTGAGCACATTAACTTTGCGCCCCCCAGGGCTCCTCTTTGTTGTTTTGTTAGTTGCCATGGATTGTGAGCAGAATGGAACTGCTCCACGGGGTCTTCTAGGCTGGGACTTTTCAGAAGTAGATTGCCAGGCCTCCCTTCCAGGGTGCCCCTGGGTGGGTTTCAACTGGCTAATAGTCAAGTGCTTAACCTTTTATGCCATCCAGGGACTCTGTAGTTAGTTTATAAAAATACAGTTCATTTTGTATGTTGACCTGGTGTCCTGTGACCTTGCTAAATTCACTTATGTTGTAGTAGATTCTCTGAATTCCTAAGGACCTTCTGCGAGTGGAATCACCTGTCTGAATAGAGACAGACGTAGACGGTCTTCACACTGCTTATTTGTTTTCCTCGTCACGTCCTTCTGGCTGCTGCTGCTGTTGGGTGCCGTCCAGTCAGTCCCAAGTCACAGTGACCCTGTGTCACAGAGCAGAAGTGCCCCATAGGGCTCTCTAGGCTGAAATCTTCACGGCAGCAGGTTGCCAGGTCTTTCTGCCGTGGATCTGCTGGGTGGGTTTGAACCGCCAACCTTTTGGTTAGCAGCCAAGCGCTTAGCGCTTGTGCCACCAGGGCTCCTAGTTGCACCAGCTGGGACCGCTGATACCAGGCTGAAGAGAAGTGACTGCAGACATCCTCTCCTCGTTCCCAGGGTGGGGAGGTGCGTGCAGTCTTTCCCCCAGAATGGTGTTAGCTTCGGGTTTTCTCTGTCCACCGGGTCTCTGACAGAAACCACACGTGTTATCTGAACAGAGAATTTGCTCTAAAGAGGTGTTCACCTGGTGTGTGTAGTTACGCTGTGTACCCGAGGGGTGAAGAGAGCACACTGCCCCAGGACGCAGCTAGTGCCCTCAGGGCTGCAGGAACCGAGGGCAGACGCTGCAGTGGGGAGACCCTGCGGGGCTGAAACTCCAGCCTCAGCTCGCCCTGCTGCTTTGAGTTTGGAGGGGTCTTCTCGGGAGGGGACCCAGACCACTGGGGAGGTGGTGCTGGCTTGCTGGTTGCTGGGGTCTGTGTGTGTTGGGGGTTCGAGGTGGGAGGGCAGCATGAAGCTGTGTTTTTGCATGTTGGAAACCTGTAACTGAGCTCGCGGGACGGCCTCCTGCTGGGGACTGCCATGGCGCCCCCACGTGTGTCCGAGCGGAACCGCGTGCCACGGGGTTTTCAGGGGCTCAGCTCGCAGAAGCAGATCGCCAGGCTTTTCTTCCGAGGGGCCTCTGGGTGGACTTGAACCTACGACCTTTTGGATAACAGCTGAGTGTGTGAACTGTTTGCACCGCCCAGGGACCACCAGCAGAGAGGAAAGAGCTCGGTCCTCCTTCCTTCTCCTCTGTCCTCTGTCGGGGTCTTCCTCGTGTGCCCTGCTGGCAGGGGGGCGGGGGGGTTTGTTGCGGAGGAACAACAGCTTGAAGCTGCCCTTTCTGACACCGAGGAGATCCCTTCCTGTGGGCAGAAGTTTCCTGAAGGGGGTTGTTTTTTTTTTCCATTTATCATGAGTAGGTATTGAGTTTGTAACATGCTTTTTCCACATCTGTTGACATGATCATACTACGTTTTTTTTCTTCTTTATTCTGTTGGTGAGATGAATTGCAGCAGTGCATTTTAGAATGTCAAACAACTGCATTCGTGGGTAAACACCACCTGATCATGGTTGCTGGATTCAGTCGACTAATGCTTTATTTTTTATTTTTTTGACTAGTGTTTTAAATGGAGATTTGTATCTGTGTTCATGAGGGATGTTGGTCTGTTGATTTCGATTCTTGTGATGACTGATTTTGGTCTTAGAGTACTGCTGGCCTCATAAAACCCTGAAAGAGTTTTTGTGGGATTGGTGTTATTTTATTCTTAAATGTTTGACAGAATTCACCAGTGAAGCCATCTGGGCTTGCGGTTCTCTTTATTGCAAGGTATTTGATTAGAAATTCAAGTGTTTAATAGATAAAGGGCTAAGATGTCCTGTTTCTTCTTGTGTTAGCTTTGGTGATTTATGTCTTTCAAGGCATTTGTTCATTTCATCTAAGTGGTTGAACTGATCAGCTGCTGTTTTCAGGGTACTGCTTGTTTTCTTATTTGTAAGCTCTTTAGTGATGACTCCCCTGTTGTAGTTTTCTTTCAGGATTTTGTCAGGATCTAAGTAATGTTTACACCTTGCAAATGGTTGATGTATTTTTCTAAGTCTGTTAATCTGTAGGTTCTCCTTCATTTCTCTTTCTTAGAATGTTTGTTGAAGAAGCCCAGTTATTTGTGATTAATTAATTCCTCAAATAATAGTTCTCTTTAGTTTCTAGTAGAGGAGCCCTGGTGGTGTAGTGGTTAAGAACTTGGCTACTAACCAAAAGGTTGGCAGTTCGAATCCACCAGCTGCTCCTTGGAAACCCTGTGGGGCAATTCTCCTCTGTCCTATAGGGTCGCTGTGAGTCAGAATCGACTCGTCGACAGCGAGCTTAGTTTCTAGTAGGTGGGTTTCTTTCATGCTCTCTGCTTCGAGCCCGTTGGTTTGCGAAGCCTGGTAGCATGTCGATTCCTTCAGCTCCCAGGAGTCAGCAGTGCTTGCGCTTACAGCTGCGTAAAGTGTGGGTAGCTCACAGCTTGGGCCTACGTTTCGCCATGTTTGTTCTAAGTAACGCCTCTCTTCTTTCACATTCGGGTTGAGTAATGAGGACTTTTGTTTTCGTACTTGAAGAGTAAATGTGTTTAAGGAGTCCTGGTGGCGCAGTGGTTAAGTGCTGGGTTGCTAACCAAAAGGTTGGTGGTTTGAACCCAACCAGTGGCACTGCAGAAGAGCTGGTGATCTGCTCCTGTAAAGATTACCCATTGCTGTCGAGTCGATTCCGATTCACAGCAACCCCGAGTGACAGAGTAGAACGGCCCCATAGGGTTTCCTAGGCTGTCATCTTTACAGAACGAGATCGCCAGGTCTTTCTCCCGCAGAGCAGCTGGTTGGTTCGAACTGCCGATCTTTCAGTGAGCAGCTGAGTGCTTAACCACTGTGCAACCAGGGCGCCTTCTGTAAAGCTTACGGCCTGGGAAACCCTATGGGGCAGTTCTTTTCTGTCACACGGGGTCGCCGCTGTGAGTCGGAATCTACTAGGTGGCACCCAACAGCAACCACTGCCACAGGGAGCGTTTAAGAATGTTCAGAGGAAGGGCGGCTCTAAGGGTAACAGTCGCTGTTGTTCCTGCGCTTCTATTTCAGATGGGTCTGCGAGGAAATCCCAGATCTCAAGCTCGCCATGGAGAACTACGTTTTAATTGACTATGACACCAAGAGGTAAGGGGGCTCCTTCCCTCCTGCCTTCCTCCTCGCCGCAGACAGGCGCCACGCTGTGTGCGGACTCGGCCATAGTCAGTCCTTCTCTGATGGTGCCAGCGGATCCGAGATTTCCTTTTGGAGCTGGCTGTCGACTCTGTGAAGTTATTTTGGTAGAAATGTTTATCAAACATTGGCAGATGCTGTCAGCGTGAGGAAAGAATTGGAAACTCAGTGTTGCCGAAACCCGAGTTGGTTTGTGTGAAATTACTCGACTTAGCAACCGCTCTTTCTGAGGCTGCCCGCTGCCAGCAGCCGTGAGCCGCCGCCTGGCCTCGGTGGCCCGTGAGCCGCCACCTGGCCTCGGTGGCCCGTGAGCCGCCACCTGGCCTCGGTGGCCCGTGAGCCGCCGCCTGGCCTCGGTGGCCCGTGGCTCCCTGGCGAGCCTCCGTTGAGCGCCTCCTCGGCCGCTGGCTGTTCCCAGCCCCTTGGCCGCGTCCATCAGTTTCCTGGAGGCCCTCTCCCGAGTCTCAGGAGAGCCCTGTGGTGGGGAAGGGCGAGGCAGTCTCTGGAATGCCGGCCTGGAATTTTTTTGTTTTTCTTTGAGAGAGAAGGGAAACATTCCATGCTCACTCCCGTTTCAGCTCTCGGGAGGGCCCTGCCGTCTGGGAACTCAGCTGCCTCTCCTGGCAGAGGGGTGCCCCGAGCAGCCCTGAATTGCCACAGAGGGTCCCTACAGGTTTCTCCACCTCTGTGGTCACTGTCACGAAAGCGCTGCCGTCGGCCGGGCTGCCATTTCGGCCTCAGGGAACAGCCACCCTGTCCCCTCGCCTCTCACCTTCCCCCATTTCACCAGCAGCCTGGTGTTGTCACAGGGGGGGTGGCTTGCTCCGCGTCTGGAGCAGTGGGACCCCCGGGGTGTCTGGGGGGCATCAGGTGGGCCCCGGGCTGTGGGTGGATGTTGGGTAGCCTGTGGTAGCGGTCAGTACTAATCCAGGGCTGCAGACTTCATGCTGAGCACCCCTGCTGTCGGGTGAGGTGGGTGTGCGCACTGACACCTCCAGCCACATGGTCGAGCTTTTTCGTCAGGCCTTGAGCAGTGAGGCAGGGCCACAGTGGCCGTCTATCTGCTGGACCAGCTGCCGTGAGTGGTCAGGGGACAGCGTGTGAGAGCAGAGCAGGGCTGCGGGCACACACAGCTGCCGCGAGTGGTCAGGGGACAGCGTGTGAG